GGACGGTCATTTTATCCATTTAGGAGTGTTTTAGAACAATATACAGCAGTCCCTCACTACTTTGCGATTCGACTTTTGTGGACTCAGTCTTTCGCAGTTTTTCAAGGATTGTCAACTTTAATATTACTCGTGTGATTGGGACGATATGGGATAAAAGGATAACAAAAAAATAAATAATACCTCAGACAGGTGCTGCCATTTTGTAGTTTTCTTTCAATAAGCATACACTGTAAGACCAGTCATAAGAACTACATTACCCAGAAGCCAACAGTGCTTCCGGACGCTGCTTTCTGACAAAATAGAAGGAAAGTTTTGCAATCCAAATCTATGCTATCTATGAAGCTCACAGAACTGGGAAGAAAGTCGCAAATAATCCTGAAGCTTCCTGAAGCTCAATTATCCACGCACACGTCAACCTGGACAGGGCGGTGGGCTTCGTCGCTGCAGGGTATTTCTGCAGAACTGGAGCCCAACCGGAACCAAGCTGTTGTTCTGCAGAGCTGGTGAATAAAATTTTACAGTACTGTACAGTACATATACGTATGTTGGAAAAATTGTGTAGGTTTAAAAGATTAGAACATTGCAAGAGTGTGGGAATTGTTTATAAAGCCTTAAAATATATATAAATACTAAAATAAATATAGTGTTCCTATCTGACAGATATCCCCCCATAAGATTAAGAAGAAATAAACAGTTCTGTGTTTCCAACATTTTGTTTTGCAAAGAAAAAAGGATTTACACAAGACAACAATGCATATTTTTAATCAAACTAAACTTCCGAAGAGCTACTCCATGTCAAGAGCTGCTTTCACAAGTTAAGGACATGTCTGCACGAGGAGGGGCACGAGTAAGAAGATGGTGGGCAAGGGCTGGGAGCCTGCTATGGGAAAAGTATGTCTGCTATGCATGGGTTGATTGGTGGTAGGATTTGTGGGCCAGGGCATTGTTGTCCGCCCTGACATTGAACTTGGGTGATCTTCAACAACTAAGCTCAAGCAACGGTTCTTCTAAACATTACAATAGCCCACAATAAAAGCACAAGAACACACAGGCGAATAATTCCTCTCTTCCAACACCCACCCAACCAGCTACACTTCCTTGCAACTCTGCTTTATCTCAACTGTCAACACCTGGCCTAAGCAGGAACCTCTCTCTATCTGTGAACTTTAATCTGGCCCTGCAAGGCAAACAGTGTCGGGCTTGGACAAGGAGAGTGATTAGTCTGTCACGTTGCCCTCCAGTGCTTCAGCGGAGAGAGGAGGCAACAAAGTAAAGACCGGGACATGGAAAGACACATGAAGTTAAGTAAAGCCTCTTAAAAAGTACAACCAAAAAAAAACAACAATGATGACAAAAGAAATTAAACAAAATAATTTAATTAAAAAAAATAGAAATGAGAGGACAAACGGAAAATGAAAACTGGGGGAGACTGTTGCAGATACAACAGCCCAGCAAATCTAGAGCTACAATTTTGGGTGGTAGTAGTTGAGCATCTATGCATGCTTAAAACACAACAAATCACACAATGTTGCATTAAAACTGTTTTAGTCAACTCAGTTTGTCTTATGAACCACTGAAGGGATTTCAATAAACTTTCAGAAAATGATCATTGTCTGTACGTCTACAAAAGAATGGTGGAGACAATCCAAATCAAGATGGTCACCAAAGCTAACCAGCATTAGCTGGCACAGAAAGGCTATATTTCAGTGAAATGTACAGATTGTGAATTAAAATTTGAAAGTCATATACAACCCAAACTCCATGCACTAATAGTGAAAGATCACGCAAAACATCACAATATTGCATAAAATAGGGGATAATATTTTCACGATTAGACAAAAATAGCTTTATCTTTGTCGTTTGTTTCTTAATGTAAGATTTTAGTTCTTAAACTTTGGCCTGAAAGGCGTTAGGCAATACGCATTATCTCAAGAAATGCTTGGATTTTAATTTACAGTATGAATGTACAGCATTTATATCTTTCAGGAGAGAGTAACCTAGCAAATTATATTAAAAAGAAGTCCCAAATTCAGATGTTTATGTAATACTTTTTTTTTATTTTTTCAAGACAAAATGGCTGAGTGAAGAGAATAATGCAGAGAACAGCTGACAATAGAGTGGCATTTCCATATCTGAAACATAACAACAACAAACCTGTAAGTCAAGCTAAAATAATTCATAAACGTTGGTCAATGACCTTTGGTCATCAAACTGTGAAATGAAGCCATCACAATTCATCAAGAGGGAGAAAACTGAACTGATTTGTGTTTTTGTAGTGAGTCTGTTCTGAACAGAGTGCGCGCGCGCGCGTGTGTGTGTGTGTGTGTACAGTCACAATAAATAACGTTGACCACTGCCAAAAGGCCAACTTCAAGTTCAGTTCAGAGCAAATAGCTTGAAAGTAAATACAGAACAAATTAGGCTGGAAACATAAATCTACCTCAAGACAAACTGCATGACAACATGTACCAAAACTTTATTTTCTGGATTTCTGTTCTGTTTAGAATATGCCTTGCATATGACCTGTACCATTCAAACAATAAAGCACCATGGTTGATTTTGTCAATAAAAAAAAAATGTGATGCTGATTGCATATGACAAAATGTCTCTTTTTCCAAAAAATAAAACTAAAAAAGAACAGCTGGAATGTTATCAGGTGGTACATGATCAAGGACGATAAAAAGTTGGCTACCAAGAAAACCCAACAATAGCTTGTATTACTGCATATAAAATGGCAGGAGAGAAAAATATATAAACAAACTAAAACGATATGTACAACCACCTGTTTTACCTCATTGTGGCTACTCCAGCGGGACTGCCTGAAAAGGCCATCATATGACCTCTCACCCTTGGGGAACACCACATTATCTTATAAAAAAAAAAAATTCAAGCATACAAATTATTCACACTATATTATCCTGCCAAATTAAGAAAATATACGGTGGCAGCATGTTGGGATTTTTTTTTCACTACAGAAAAAAAAAAAAAGAGTACATTGAGACCTTTAAAGAGTACAGGCAAAACAGTTAAAAATACAGGCTCCAACATAAATACTATAAGTGCCTACACTATGTGAACATTAATTTCAAATACCATTCTAAATACAGGAAAAAAGTAGACCATAAATGTGTTTTGAACATAGGAACTTACATGAGTGCATTTTCCTATGTGTTTTAAGTTCTCTCTCTATATTTATATATCATAAATCTCTCCTTGATGCAAATTTCTGTTCAACCTGAAGATTTTTGTATAGTAAAGGCAAAAAATGAGAGTCGTGTTCTTTACAGTTCATTATATAGTGCAGTGGTCCTAACCGCGATCCTTGAGGAACACCATCCTGCATATTTTAGCAGATTCCCTGCTCCTACACGCCTGATTCAGTGGCTTAATTACTTCCTTAAATTTGGAAGAAGACTGATAATCACCCTTTCATTCCAATCAGGTGTGTTGGAGCAGAGGAACAACTAAAACATGCAGGATGGTGTTCCTCAGGGATCAGGGTTGGGAACCACTGAATTATAGTGATCAAATCCTGGATGTCACCACAGTAAAGAAGAGAAACATTAACAAACAAAAAAAAAAAATCAATTTAAATAAGGTTCTCCTCTAAATATATTGAAGTGTTACTTAAAAAAAAAGACATTTTATTTATTTTATAAAAACCAATTTTGTAGAGTTTTATTGTATAATTATTAGGTGGGTATGAAACAGGATATTTCTATGGCAATTCCTGCAACAACACCTCTAAGAGCCACACTAATCGTTAGCTCTCTGAAAGAAACATGGCTGGCAAAATTTTCTAAATCAACACATTAGTTTTCTTTTAATGCAAAGTAATGACACCACACTTTCAGCATAAGAGCAAGTTTTCCCTTGAGCGCCCAACTGTAAACTGGGAAAATTGAACAGTGCATGTAGGTAGTACCAGATCTAAAATCTGGTCTTCATTTTATACTCAACCAACTGTACCTCCGATTACAGAGACAGATACAGAATCCAAGGCAGAGTGACAAGTGCTATATCAGTATCAATGATGGGGGTTGAAGGTATAAAAAACAAGTTCTAAAACAAGAAAAAAAAGCATTCATAAAACCTTTAAAAGTCTTTAACAGGTAATTTACTGCATTTAGAATTATTGTTGCATGATTCCGTTTTGGATCATTCCAAGTATGAGTTCATAAAATAGGTTCCAAATTCAAAAATATCATGATGAAAAGAATTATCACTCGAAGAACTTTTGAATTGTAAAGACACCTGCTCGACCCACTCAATACCTTGACCCTCACCCACCTTAATGCTCACAACCCACCCAAAACCTGACTTACAATAACAAAATCCCACTTTGTCTTCAAGTGACTGCTGGAATTACTGCCTGCCTGGCTAACACAGAAGAATTAGCTGCAAAATAAGACTTGCACTTTTAATTTTCAAAGAAAATAAACACTCTGGAAAAGTAAGAGCTTTATGTCGGTTAAAACAGCTTGTCAGAGTACCCTTTCAGTTGTACCAGAAACAAACACCAACACCTACACGTTGAAGTCTGACCCCGTTTAAGCATGTAGCATGCCAGTAAACAAAATTGTAATCGTGATAACGTCAATATACACAAGTCAGGCAGATGAATGTTTTTCCAAAGATACACATTTTTTGTTTGTTTGTTTCAGCTGGTTCCCTATTTTCTGCTAAGCAGGTGCTTGATGCAAGGACCTGCCTCTTCTACATGTGCACAAAAAAGTCCTGTATTCTTTTATAGCTGAAACTCCGAGCTTATAGCAATAAGGAGGATTAACTAATGCAAGTAAAATATCCAAGGCACTCTTTGTTGTCATTTCACACCACGTTATTAAGTTCAATGATGTTTGTAAAAGACGTATTTTAAGGGCGCTAGTGCCTAGCATTTTATAGGCCGTCAATTTTATATATACATATAGATATAAATCTTTTTTCGATGTTGCATGGAAATTCTTTCACAAGGATTGGTTTTATGTTCGACCCTGCTTGTCTTGATGTTTTGAAAATATGACACCGTCTGCTATGCTTGAACACAAAACTGCACATGATATGTAAAACAGTATGTATGCAGCTTGGGTTAAACTAATCTTTTTTTATGTTGACAAAATTGAAAGTATCAACAGCGACACATGTACAACCAGACCCACTAGCCAAGGACAATTTTTTCTCTCTAAGTAGCCAAAACACACCAAGCATGCTGTCCAGTTACAAAAAATACAAAATGTGTCAATTATTGCACAATAGAAAGGCTCAAAAAGTTCTGATGCAATAGTATTGCCCCAATCGTGGATCATGCATCAAGCTTTCTCCAAGAGGATGAAAGCAGGGCTGCACTGCGTTCTGGTGTCTAACCCTGTTGTCTTTTCCCCATGCTCATTGTCCAGTCAGCAAGGGTTGTTTTTTTAGCCAAAGGAGCTGAAAGACAACTGCTCTTTGCTTATTCAGTTTTAATGTCATTAGCCAAAGAGCGGTCACTGTGCCATTTCTTCATGTGTTTCTCTAGAGTGCTATACACACTAAAAGGCATGTGGCAAATTTCACATTTATACACGTCCTTGCCCATCTGTCCATGGGTCTTCATGTGGCGGGTGAGTTTTGAGCTCTGTGCACAGGCGTAGCTGCACAGCTCGCATTTGTATGGCCGCTCTCCAGTGTGACTGCGTCGGTGCACAGTCAAGTTGCTGCAGTTCTTAAACACCTTGCCACAAAATTCACAGGTGTCACTGCGGCGGCCATCCTTGGAGCTCGGTCTGCCGTTCCCACTGCCACCGTGGGGAGTGCTGGCCCCACTGCCGGTGCCACTGCGTCCTGAGGCGGCCCGTTCACCATCAAGCTCACCAGGTGGAGTGGAGAAACGTAAGCTGCCGTTTTCTGATGAGTGCTCAGATGAGGATGTAAAGGGTGATTGTCTAGAGTCCCCACCTGTGAAGTTGATGAAAGGGTCTTTGAGTTGCCGTGAGGCAGCGTAGCCAGCTAGCCACTGAGAATAAACATTCTCTGTGTTTGGGATAGTAGGCGTGGGAGGGTCAAGGTCTTTTTCCACCTTGATACGTTTGGATAAGGGGCTGATAGAGTCGGGACTAATACCACCACCCAAAAGCTTCCTGGTCAAGCTGTCATTAGGTAGAGATCCCAGGCCATTGATGGCAGTGGTGGTTCCATCATCTGCACGATCCATCTTCACAGATGAGTCCTCATCACCAGGTCCCCGGGACAAGCTCCGGCGATGCGGATGTAGGGCCTCACTGTTCTGGTGGTGACGAGCTCCTTCAAGCCTCAGGCTGAAGCAATAGTCATTCCGTCCCTCTTCTTCAACTCCAGTCTTACTTTCTACTTCCTCTTCTTCCCCCTCCTCCTCCTCTTCTTCCTCTTCATCCTCTTCCTCCTCTTCCTCCTCTTCTTCCTCATCCTCATCTTCATCTTCATTTTCAGGCCCCAGTCCATTTTTCTCACTCTTGAACTTGGCCACCACTGACTTGAGAGCATCTGTGGCACTGCCTAATACCTCACTTGTACCAGGTTCAGGAGAGCTCGCAGTCGAGAGGCCGTCATCTGACTTGGCATTAATCAAAGAAGACTTGTTCTGACAGTGGGTCTTCATGTGGCGTTTTAGTTTGCTGGCCTGCGTGCAGGCATGGTTACAAAGGTGACACTTGAATGGCTTTTCCCCTGTGTGGCTTCGCCGGTGCACAATAAGGTTACTCTGGAACTTGAAGGTCTTTCCGCAGAACTCACAAGACTTTGCCTTGAGAGGGGTTCCTGGCTGGACTGAATTGGATACAAGATTGGGGGTAGAGTGTGAGCCAGAAGGGGACTGAGAGGTGGAGAGGGGAGGCGTGGCTGTAAATGGAGGTTTGGAACCTGGCTGGAATGGTTGCAGCAGCCGTTGCATAGGGTTGGGTCTGTTAGGGGAAAGAGGTGGAGAACCTCCAGTGGCATTGCCGGCCAGCTCACGGAGACGTCTCGAAAAGTCCATGCTTTGAGGGGGTTCTAATGGCACTGAGTTTAGCCTCATCACTCTGTCAAAGGCGCTAGGGTGGTGGGTTGCCAAGGCAAGGTCATCGGGGCTCAGGTGGTGCCGTGGTGGTGGGCTAAACAGTGGGGGTGTTCGGGGGTAACGGCCTTCACGAGGCGTAGATGCTGAATCCCGACCAGACCCTGAACCTGGCATCCTTAGGAGGCTGTAGGGGCTGCCGTCAGCCAAGTGGACAGCATGCAGGGGAGGCTGGGAGGAGGCACAATCACCCCCCATTCCAGGAGCTGCAGCCACACGGGGGGTCAGAGGGCTACCAGGTTCACTCTCAAGATAGATGCGGAAACCGTGGGTGTTCTGGGCATGCTGAAGCAAGAACCAGGCACTGGTGAAGGGCTGTTTGCATGTGGTGCAGGTGTAGCTGCTGGGCTCATCTTTATCTGACAAAGACACAGAGAAAAAGGGCATTTAACACATGCTAAATCAATATTAACAAGAAAAAGTGCGATGACAAGATTCACACTTACAATTTAATTCAAATGACACAAAAAAAGTGTTGTTTTTTTTAAACACATATACAAATTAATTTGAAAGGATGGTTTAATATACAAAGACAAAATAATTTCTCTTTTCACTTTACTGTAATTTATTCACATTTTATTTTTAATTAAAAATTACCTTAATATATGTGTTTGTTTTTTTTGTTTGTTTTTTTATTTGGTAAGCGCAATGTAAAAATCCTTTGGAACAAAGCATGGAAATAATTCAAACAGTAATTGACTTTCAATTGCACTTGTCCACTGACCTGAGATTTGCCTGACAATGTGCACCTAATCTTGTTAAACACACTCATCTACCCTCCAATACCTTGTTTACAGAATTAGCAAAGCTAAAGTAGGACATGCATTGAAGGCTGCATATTAACACTGAATACAAATAAGGGTTAACGTGTTAATAAATTGTACCAGTTTTTGATCACAAAAAGCACATTCATAGGAAAAAAACACACAGAAAATTTGTATGCCTGTTTGTGTGTGGGTGGGGAGACTCCTTTGAAAATGCAGTTCATGCATTACTTTTCTATTTCTGATATTTCATGCTTTATGGATTTATTTAAATCCTCTCAGGTGAATAGAAAAAGAGAAGAAGAAAACAGAAGTGAGAGCTATGCAAAATAAGACACATCAGCCACTTGCAAATGTGCTCTCTCTTTCATCTTTTGCTTTTTTTTATCCTTTCTTCTCTTATTTTCCACTGAAGGGCATTCTTCTAAAGTCATTTGCAGACACGGACCCCAACATCCATGGCCATACTACGCAAGAGAGGAAGAACAAGGAACTGGGAGAGGAGAAGATAGCCAAAGCATGCATGATTGTGAATATAATCGAGAGCCCTACGATGGTGAATGTCTTGCATGTTTTAAGCTCGCTGTGACTCAGAGACAAAGGGGAAAAGAAGGGGCAGTAAAAGAGGACTGATGCTGAGAATAAAGAGGGATGTTGTGGATGAGGAATAAAAAAAAAGAGTTTGATGTTTTGTAGTATACTTTCTATCTCATGTGTCCACAGCCACTATGACCCCCTCCGAAGACTCTCACTTAAAGAACAGAGCACGGCATAAAATGTGCACCTAATCAAACCACCATGCTAACCTTTTTCTCTTGACTAAAAAGAGTTGGAAGGGGGTATAATGGTAAATTATGGATCATTACAATCTGCAAAAATTACAGTTAATTGCTGCCACCTGCAATGGGCTTTGACCCACTATGGAATTTTTCCATCATAAAAAAGCCATTTGCCCATACACGTTTTTGCTCTCTCCTTCTCTCTTATAAGCACAAATAAAATGTGCCTGTTACATTAACTTTGGCTCTATGTACATTTCCTGATTATGCGTGTATTTTTATAGCGTTAAGCAGAGAGCCTCACATAACTCGTAAACTGGTTGCAATAACCTGCCTTTTTCCGGTACACCTTTCTTTGATCTGTAGCCGATACATATTCCACGTCACCAGCCTACATGTGCACATGCACAGTGTATATGCAAGAAAAGGAAAATATATATTTTTTCTGTTATTGTGAATAACGAGAGAGGAAGATAAGAGGGTTAGCTAGAGTGTTACGCCTGTCAGACAAAAAAATAAATAAAAAAAACATTGAGGAATCCTGAAAGTGAAGGAAGGAGGCATGGGAGAAGGAAACAAACGAAAGAGGGAGAGAAGTGTGGCATGAAGGGGACAGTTCTAATGACAACCCACAACATTTCTGAAGGACACAAGAGCCACAACACAACACTTTACAGACTGTTATAAATTCATTGTTTCATATGTCAGAAACAGCTATGCAATCGCTTGTTCATCGATGAACATTTGACAAACTGTGAACACGCCACAAGAAACGTTAATAGTTGTTATTCCCATCAGAAAGTCAGAACAACGCATGCCAAGACTCACAACAATGGCACATAAGATATCTAAATAAGCCAGCTATTGTCCTTAATAGCTGTCCTCAAAGGAGTGGAAGAAAAGTTATTCAAAGGGATAAAAGACATTTTGACAGGGCGTTTGATGTTTTTTTTTAGTACGGAGAAGCACAGAACTGTGCAAGAATGATCTTACAAACGTATCTGTCCACTAATGGATTAAAAAAAGAGCTCTCATACTCTTGTTCTGTTTCTCTCCTTCAAGTAATTTAAAGTCTGGGGAGAGTTAGGGCTGGAGCGCAGCAGAGCTGAGGCTAATGCTGGATCTCCAGGTCCCTTTGAAATAGGATCAGCAGAGAGGAGAAACCACACTGACAAGCCCTTAGCTGCCATTTCATGGCAGGGGCTGAAAGAGGGGACTTTGGAAGAGGGAGGACAAAAGTGTAGAGGAGAACTGAAAGAAAGCACGGGGAAGAAGTGAAAAAGCAATAATTAGAAAACTAGAAATGTAAAGAAAACTAGGGTTATCAAGTCTTTCAGTGCAATGCAACACAACTATCAAGCAGAGAATATGATCTAAGGTTTACGTAAAAAAAGGCCTTACGTCAACCAGCACAAGAGACGAAGGAAAATTATGGTCATTAAACAGCAGTTAAAGTAACCTCACACTCCACGCACACCTCCATCATGAACTTACACAGCAGTCCAAGTGACTAAGCTGTCCATTTTGATCAGATTTATATATAGTGACCCAACATCCAAACCTACTTGTTTAACATAGCAACTACAATATTCACCTATTTTACTTCACTGAAGCACAAATAAATGGACTGTACTTTTGATCTGATCAAGTTACTCAAAGCGCTTTACACTACAATCTGTGCCCTCATTTACCCATTCATACAGCACTCTACTAGATCTCTACAAAGACTGATCAGTGCTTAAGTGTACATTCATACACCGATGGGACACACGTCGAAGGCCATGAGGGGTTCAGTGTCTTGCCCAGGGACACTTCAGCATGTGACTGCTGGTGGAATCAAACCCCCCAACTCTTGCATTGGAGGACGACTGCTCTAACCACTCAGCCACATACAAATACAAACACAAAAACCAGCTTTTCTTGACTTGTGTGGTGATGTACGTGCACGCTAAACTTTCTGAACATGCATTTAAAAGTTGACAGACTTGGCTTGACCTCCATCATTTTTTGTTTAGTTTTGTCCTTGACGAACTCTGATAGTGGGCTCAGACCACGTACTGTAGCTCTCACTGATATTGGTCATTAAGCTAATGGAGGAACAAGCTAACAGGATTAGCACACAGGTCTTCTAAAAGGAGAGGAAAGGAAAAGAGGAAGGCACACATGAGGGACACCGCATGTCATGGCCATTTCCTAAAGTTACCAGGCTTGAGAGAGCACTCACAAACACCTGAAAAGTGATTATGCTAATAGCAGGTCTTTGCCAATATTCATAAGTGTTTATAGGTGTTCTTGGAGTGCTTTGGGGAGATGGAGGGTTGTCAGTACAGTGCCTCTTCAGAGTGCCTCAGCCGTAACTGCCTTTAATGTGATTACGACTCTGTTTATGTCATTAGGGTATTCACAGTCAGGGATTGGACAGGGGTGAAGGGTGAAGCAAGAGAGGACAGGCTGGGGGAAACGATAGAGTCACATTCTTTTGGGTCCTTTTATATTGAAGTCTTGAAAATGACATTGAGTGATAATGAGGTCACCTAAAATAAACCACATTTTAGTTAAAGATTAACATTAATAAAATTGATGATGCTTTTGCAAGTTATCAAAATTCTCGTCTGTATTATTTAAAAACTTAAGACGCATCTGTTTGGGAAATAAAACATTTATTTTGAAAGGATCTCTTTCACTTATCGACACAATCCCGTATGTGTGAAGAGATTTGTCTGGTTCAGTTATAGATGAAACAATACGAAGCACTTTACTGAAAATTCCTGTTTCACCAAAAAACAAACAAGTGTCGAAAACACCTTTTTTAAATCAGTTTTTATTTTAAATGTTAATACTTTAATTTGAATTTTTGTTAGTTTTTCAAACTACAAAAAAAACTTTTTGCTATCTTCACAACCTTACCTTTATCAGTCATGATAAAAATGTATTATGCCGTGCTAAATTTTGATTGTATTCCTTTGCAGCATTTGATATCACCCTTTGCACAAATAAAAATAAAATGCACCGACATGCTGGCTTGGGTCAACAAAAGTTGTATCAAGCATGTAAGATTAGTTATTGGGATTAGCTGCAAATCTATAAAGAGATATGATGCTCCAATCTCACTTGGCCTATTTTAATTGATTTTGTTATAAATTGAGATATATAAAAAAACTGCCAACAAATTAGGCCATAGTGTTTTATTTGGAGCTTTAACCGTATTCTTTCATAGGGAGTCCTATTATCTTTAAACTAATTTATTTGACTACAATTGTGTCTGTATCTGAACAAACTGGCTGGCCTTGACCTTCCTCCTCCCTTCAGTATCTCAGTCTGTATCTGTGTTTCTCCACCCGGGCTGCCCAGGTGGAGAAATACACTCACTTCTTTGTCTTGAATTATGGTGAGCTGAGCAACTAAGACACACAGAAAAGGCTTGTTTTACCAGCACTTGTGTTTTAGACAGACCCAAAATCAATTCAGTTCAATTCAGTTTATGTATAGAGTGCCAAATCACAACAGAAGTCATCTCAGGGCACTGCACAGAAACACACACACACACACACACACACACACACACACACACACACACATATATATATATA